TGCTTTCTCAGCTGCCTGGCTGCCTGCCGCCATCTTGGCTGACAGTTAATTTGCATATACTCACTGATTAGCCAATGAAAAGGGTAGTGGTCGTACGCTAATTACCATGTTTCTCTTTTATTAGTGTAGATAGTTTGCACTCTTATGTTTAGTGCTAAAATTTTAGTTTATTTTTGTATATGGTGTAAAGTAAGGATCCATTTTCATTCTTTTGCATGTGGATAGCCAATTGTCCCCACGCTATTTATTGAAGGGACTGTTTTCTTCCCATTTTATGGTCTTGGCACTTTTGTAAAAAATCAATTTAACATGCATTCAGAGGTTTATTTCTGGATTCTCTATCTATTTCATTGGTTTATATATCTGTCTTTATGCTACTACCACACTGTTTTAATTATTATAATTGTATAATAAGTTTTGAGATTGAGCAGTTTGAAATCTTCAATTTTGTTTTCTTTTATCAAGAATGTTGTGCTATGCAGAGTTTCTTGAGATTACATATGAATTTTAGGAGGGATTTTTTTTTCAAAAAAGGCACCTTTGGGATTTTGAAAAGTATTTATACCAATAAATCTGTAGACCACTCTGTGAAGTATTAACATTTTAACTCTATTAAAGTTTTTCAACCCATGAACTCAGGTAGCTTTCTATTTATTTGTGTCTTCTTTAATTTATTTAAGCAACAATTTATAGTTTTCAATACAAAAGTACATCTTTTACTTCTTTGGTTAAGTTTATTCCTAAGTATTTTTATCTTATTATTGTAAATGGCATTGTTTCCTTTACTACCTTTATGGATTTTCCATTTGTAGTTCACAAAAATGCAGCTGATTTTGTGTTAGTCTCTTCTCTGAACTCTTAGAAGCCAAGAGCCATGCTGTATTTGTATTTTTGGAGTTAATGTAAAAATAATAATTGGAAGTTTTTAATATATTTTTAAAATTTTCCATTGGCAATAATGTCTATTTTTTGTTTTTGTTTTTCTTTTCTCTCTCTTTTCAGGGCTCTGCCAGTGCAACAGCCTCTCCTCCAGTCTCCACCCCTGTCACGGGACACAAGAGAATGGTTATACCAAACCAACCCCCTCTAACAGCAACCAAAAAGTCTACATTGAAACCGCAGCCTGCACCTCAGACTGGGCCCATTCCTGTGGCTCCAATAGGGACACTAAAACCCCAGCCTCAGCCAGTCCCAGCCTCCTACACTACAGCATCCACCCCTTCAAGGCCTACCTTCAACGTGCAGGTGAAGGCAGCCCAGCCCAGCTCACATTACATGGCTGCCCCTTCACCAGGACAATTTTACGGCCCAGGGTCAGGGCACCAGGGCTATAACATTCAACCAGTTCCTGTTTCTGGTCAAGGTCCACCTCCTCCAACACGGGGAGGCATGGATTATGCATATAACCCACCCCCAGGCCTTCAACCTGAGCCTGGGTATGGGTATGGCCCTAACCAAGGTCGCTATTATGAAGCCTATAGCCCAGCAGGGCCTGTGTATGGAGGCAAAAATGACTCTGATCCTGCCTATGGTCAACAAGGTCATCCCAATACCTGGAAACGGGAACAAGGGTACACTCCCTCTGGGACAGGAAACCAGCACCCTACTGGCATGTATCCAGTTGCTGGTCCCAAGAAGACCTATATCACAGATCCTGTTCCAGCCCCCTGTGCACCACCACTGCAGCCAAAGGTAAGATACTCATTGGCATAGTGACAGAAATAAAGGGCTGCCTATCTTGGCCAGCCTTCCCCAGAAAGCAGAGCCTAAGGCAAAATATGTATGTGCTCTTTTAATTTAATTAGAAACTACAATGCCAGGGAAGCAAGAATGAAGTAGGAAAAGAAGGAGATTCCAATAGGGATATGGGTTTATGTTACCAATATGGCTATTGTTTAGTACCTGTTGCATCTACTTGTTCAATCTTGAAAGATCATCTACCAAAAGATCATATGAACTCTAGCAACTCATGGTAATCTTTTTATGGTGGCAAAAAGGGGAAAATGATTTATCTTGTCTCCTCTTGAACCAAGTTTCTCTGTGAGTCAGACACTTCCTCACACTTAGACATGCATTTACTTGGGCACCAAACAAATCTGTAGCACCTCATGCATTACAGGGACAGGACATCAACAGGTCTGGAAGTGAGAAGTATGCAGGGTAAACATGAGGTGAGCTTCTGTCAGGTTGAGTTTATGAGACAGTGGTCAGAACTCAAGAAAAGTTGGTACCACAGTGGCTGCTAAGACACAACAAGTGGCCAACAGCCCAGGAGACAGGTGAGGCCAAGGGGATCTAAGGTAATGCAGACACCTTGTCTAATTTCCTTTGGGAAGAGGTTGCTGCAGTATAATGGCACTTGAAACATGAGGTGAGCTTCTGTCAGGTTGAGTTTATGAGACAGTGGTCAGAACTCAAGAAAAGTTGGTACCACAGTGGCTGCTAAGACACAACAAGTGGCCAACAGCCCAGGAGACAGGTGAGGCCAAGGGGATCTAAGGTAATGCAGACACCTTGTCTAATTTCCTTTGGGAAGAGGTTGCTGCAGTATAATGATAATGGCACTTTCTTATCACCCCTTGTCTATCCACATTACAGATCCTGCAAGAAGAATCTTACTCTCTAGCCTTTAACTCTATAAGGCAATTTAAAAAAATCCTTTATGACAGTTTTCTTTTTCATTGTTTTATTTACTTGCAAGCATGTATGTCTTTTAAGTAAACATATTAAGTTTCTTCCTTTGAATACGTAAGATATGATATTACACATACCTACTCACCTACCAATTTGATTTTCCGTGATAACTAGAACCAGCATGATGATGTGTCCTTTTACCATGACTAGAGGAACCAAGGGGGAATTACTTGGAAGAAATGAGATGGATAAACCAAGCTAGGTTTTAGCCATTGGGTTGGAACAGCGGCCTCTTTTTGTTTCATTTACAGCTGTGAGAAATCAGAAATAGTTAGAAGCTGAATGGTAATTTGGGGGCAACTTGGGTAGAAGGACTATCTATATATTTTTAATCCTTAGCACATTTGACATTGTCAATTTACAGACATATTCATTCACATTTTCAACATTATAACAAAAATGCCAGGTCCTTGTTCTCCAGGAGTGTGTTTACTAAACCACTATTTTCAAATGAAAGTATGTGCTCTACTAATGGTGCTCCAAAATGAATTCTAGGGTCCTTAGAGGAAAAGAACCCTTCCCCAAAAGTGCATCCTTTATATGAATACCCTTTACATAAAAGTGGTCCAGCCATGATGTTTTCCAACTTAAAGTTTCCAAGTTAAGTGTTTTGGAAACATTGCTCTTGGAAAGCTTTTTTTTTCCTCTAAAATCCCTTTATAAAAATAAATGTCAGTGAGTTTGTTTGTGTGTTTGGTTTTTAAATAAAGTTTGTCCAAAATAGTCAACCTGGGTAGCCTTGCCCTTTGTTAACATTACAGTGTATTAACATTAGTCCTTCCTGGTTCCCAGAGCAAACAGGTCAGAAAACAATTGCATTATTCAACTTTATCTCATGTTAGTGCAACTGCAATAAATTCCCCTATGGAAGAGTAAAATTTTGGGTTGGGATCATTGACACTAACATTTAAGCTCAACTAGCTTAAATGCAGTTTTGCTCCATCCAAAGCAATCTGACTTCGGATGGTCCTAATGGAAAGTGATAGGCCCAAAGTTGTTTTAGGATCCTATCACCCTCACCTGGGGGAAGCAGACTTGAGATATATGTCTAGCTGGAGAGAATAATCTTGTGAGAAGTGGTAAGTTAGTCTTTGAGTTTCCTGTTTTCCCATCATGTCACTGGCACTCTGGAAAGCCCCTCTTCATTCAACATTGGAACCAATCCAGTGGTGCAGGAAAAGAATCAATGCCCAATGCACTGCCTGGATCTAAGATGCTGGGTCCAGCCACATCACTAGCATTTGGACTTGGCCAATATACTCAGGGTAATGGAGCGAACTTTCATTAGACACTCACCGGAAAGCATGAAATTTTATTTTCCTTCTTTTTGTAATTATTCAGGATGATCTGTTATTATGGTTTCTGGATATCAGTGAATCCCACATAATTTAAATTTTTTGTTTAAATATTTGTTTTTCAACAGTGTCATGTGTTTGAACATTACATTGTGCATTTTAAAAATGTGAAAATCAAATCATGTACTTTTCTCTGTGATTATTAAGGAGAGTGGTTAGAGGTTGATATTTAGCCATCTGTCTTTGTTTGGTGAAAGGGGAAGGAGGCTGATGAGGCTACAGATATATTCTGTGTTGTGGGGGCACTAGTGACAGAGGGGATGGGCTCTTTCCCAGTTAGTCTTTGAGCAGAACACTGCTCCTATTCAATGGCACCTGTGCACAGAGGACCTTATTGTCCCAGTATTGACTCTGCTTAGCTTAGTGGTGTGACTACTGGCTGGAAAAATGAGCTCCTAAGTCTAATCCCAGTTTCTCCCGTGACATTCCTCTTTCAGCTTGAGGAAAGCCTCTAGACCTCTTTATGTCACGCTTCTAGCCTGGGTAAAGTGGAACATCATCTTCTCTAATTAATTAATGACTGCAGAGGGCTTGGAAATTTCCAAAGACTGAATAATTGCCAAGTGAGGACTGTTCACTTTTCACTGGCTTTCCTTTCTTTCCATTTTTTCCTCACTGATGGAAAACTTACCTTCATGCCTTACAAAAATGATCTTTTGTTATGTTGAGACAATTCTGAGGAATTTGGCCTTTAACTCATTAAGGATTTTTAAAAAAATATATTTTATTGATTTTTTTACAGAGAAGAAGGGAGAGGGATAGAGAGTTAGAAACATCGATGAGAGAGAAACATTGGTCAGAGCCTCCTGCACACCCCCACTTGGGATGTGCCCGCAACCAAGGTCCATGCCCTTGACTGGAATTGATACTGGGACCCTTCAGTCCACAGGCTGACGCTCTATCCACTGAACCAAACTGGTCAGGGCAAGGAATTTTTTTTAATGAAAGAAATAAAACTCCCCTATTCTTGACATTGAGCTGCTTTAATTTTCCTACATCATAGAGCAGTTTAAAAGAAGAGGAAAAGGAGGGTAAGGGAAAAGGCAAGAAAAAAAAAAGAAACAAAGACGAGAAAAATGAAAAAGAGAATGAAGAAAGGAAGTAGAAACAATCAGAAACTGTGAGACTTGGGGGATCATGATTAGATTTGTGTTCCTGTGTGCTGAGCAGTGAATTTGCATACCACAGTAGACCATAATATGTTTCCTGCACCATCTGAGCTGAGTTCCTTGAAAAATATTGTTATAAGCAAGTCTATAAAGGGGAGAAATGTTCCCTTCTCACTGACAATCCTCTTAAAGAAATAGAGGAAACTTTTCTCTTTGCTGTTTTACTAGTATAAAAGCTAATACCTGCATGTTGTTGTGTGGTCCACGGAACTCTTGTCCAATGCATTATCTTCACATTCCTGGGATGGGTGTTTTCTCCAATATTCAGAAGGTGAGTTAGATGAAATTCCCAGAGCCAGGATCTGAGGCAGTCATCACTCTTAGGTCCAAAGTGGCAGGGCAGCTCTGGCACCCACTTCCTTGTCTTGAACCTAATCTGTGTCATCCTATGGTCAGGTAAAAAGACAGCGATTTGCCCCATACTGTGTGAAAGGCACTGATGCTGTACACCACAGAAAGATCTAGAGGCCCATCTATTGTGGGGATTAGGTTAACTTCTGAAATCATCTATTATTAAAATGTCCTTGAAAAATCTTTCAGGAAGGTGAGACCTTGGAGAACAACAAACTACCTTTCGGTAAACCTAACAAAGTTGTTGTTGTTAGCTCTTTCAGACTTAAGACAGATCATTGCTCATCATTTACTTGTTGAAACAGGGGATATTTTATAGGTCAGAGAAGAGAGCGTCAAGGTAATGAAATCCCCGGGGTGAGTGTTGAAGAGGCCCTAAAACCTGTAATTCATTAAGATTAAGAAAATCTTTGAGAATGTTGATATAGTAGCATTTCAGATATTCAAGGAATATTAAAGTGTTTAACTCTGTGTGTATATGTGGAAAAGAGAAGAAAAAATATATATATATACTATGTATATACACTATGTATATACACTATGTATATACACTAGAGGCCCGGTGCATGGATTCATGCACCAGTGGGGTCCCTAGGCCTGGCCTGCGCGATCAGGCCTAAACCAGCCCTCTGACATCCCCTGAGGGGTCCCAGATTGCAAGAAGGTGCAGGCCAGGCCAAGGGACCCCACCGGTGCATGATTGGGGCTGGGGAGGGACCAAGAGGAGGCTCCAGGGTATGTCCAGCTCGTCTTACCCAGTCCTGATGGTATATTGCAAAGAATTGGTGGTACTTTGAAGAGAACTATCTTTATGTTAATTTCTGTGCTAAATCTCTCTCAATTTTGGGATTAGAGAAAGAAAAGTAAGAGATATAAGGGCAAGAAGGATGGATGTGGATATATGCCTCAAGGCAATTGACAGTACCTAGACATGTACTGTGGAGATGAGAATGGTGACAGTAATATTAGTAATTTTATGCAGGGCTTCTTGGTTTCCATAGTGCTTTGTGAACCTCACAAAATCTATGTGCATTAAACACAGATGTTTCTGTCTCTCTTGTGCTGATGAGGGTCACCGAAATAAGATCATATTTCAAGTTTATGGGAGAGCCATAACTCTAAG